CTTGAATGGGAATGGGATTCTGGTTTTAATCAAGTGAAATTCGGCCTCAGTAAATGGGAGGGTGTGTCAGTGCATTGCGAAGTTTTATATGCATAATTTTTAAATGAGCTTTTTGCAAGTTGCTATTAACCTGCTGGAGCTCCAGGGTTTCCAGAGGGGGAATGCAGTGAAAAGCACCTTTTTTTTTTGAAAGGAATATGGCCCAATATCTCTTTCTAGCACCTCTGTCTCTGACCCTTCTGGGTCTTCACTGCCTGTTAGGAGGTGAAGTTGTAATTAGACAGTTCCCAGGCATTTGCCTCTGAATGAAAGCAAAAGCCTGTGTAGTCTTGGAATAGCCTGTGGGATTTATGGAGCAATGATGGAGCAGGGAGCAGCAGGACTGTGCCAGGTAGGAGCACACAGACAGGAGCCAGCTGGCCCAGCAGCAGAGACCCTTCCCAAAATCTGCCCCTTTCTCCAGCCCCACCTGCTGAACCACAGCTACTATTACCAGCTCAGTTCAAATACATTCTACTGAACAAACAAATAAAAACCCTAAAAATCCATATTTTCAGGGAGACCTTTTGTTTTGGGTAGTTGTTTCACAGGGGCTCAAATTTGAACTCCCAAGTGCAGGTTCGTGCCAGCTGCTCTCAGCAGTAGGTGCAGTGTACCTGCTACAGCTCTGTCTGAAATTCAGATGCACAGGGCAAGATGGTCCTTTCCTGGGTATTACTCACACCCTGAGCGCTCTGAATCCTCTTTTAGGTCGTATCTCTCCACCACATACCATCAGCCTGCAGCTGGCTGTTCTTAGGTGATGCTGCTCCATGCCCAAAATCAGGAAACAGGCTAGACTTTTAGGCATCATTCCAATGTTTCTGAGCACCCTGAGGTCTGGGGTTTGTCTGAGTCAAACGTCAGATATCCCTGGTCAGACAGTCTTAACACAGATTGTGATAAAATTTAGTATGCAGACCCTCACCTGCCCTGCCTGCTTTGTTCATGGGGTGGCTGTGGGGTTTAGCAAATAAGTATTTCTAGTGTGTTTTGGAATCTTTGCCTGGATTATGCTCCAGGAATCCCTGAGATCGTTATCCAGATGCAGATAGGCCTGAAATACCTTTCCCATGAAGAATGGGTCTAATAATGGAGTGCTGCATAATCAGACTTTGTCCTAAGGGCCCTGTGATGACTTGTGTGATTTCCTTTTCATTATGGAGGAGTATTGATCCATGCTTTGCATTGGGTCTGTCAGCACAGACAGTGCAGAGCATCCTGGGGCCCAGGGAGGACATTCCAGTGAGCTGCTGAGCTCTGCTTTGAAAGCAAAACCCTTCCCAGGTAAAACCAACGTGTGGAGCCATTTTGTTGGTTTTCTGAAGCAGCTTCAGTGAATTGCTCTGCTTTGGCCAGCTCAGTGTGGATTTTAGCCTTGGGAGGGATGCAGACAGGTGCATTTGCCTGGGAATGAGTGTTTTACAGCTGTTGGTGTCCTCTCTGTGCGTGGCCTGGGAGGGGAGACTGAAGGGATGGTCCTTGCCAAGGCTTTGTGCTGCCATCAGCCACATCCCTGTGCTGGACAGTGTGGGTCTGAGGGCAGGGCTGAGGTCTGCCTGCTTTGTGGCTCTTCCTGTACTGTCCTAAGCAAAAAAACCCAAATTCTTGCTTTGTCCAGTCTCTTTGAGCAGGACACAGAGTAGCTGGAAGTTCCCTCAAAGGCATGGACTCAGCTCAGGGGTCCCAGTCTCCCATGAAGGGGACTAAGGGGGGGTCATATTGTTGGTCTAAAAGAACAATAATCCCCAAACCCTCAAGGAGCAAGTTTAAGTGCAGTGATACAGATCATTACTCTGATTATGTTTCTTTAAAGCACATTTAGGAATTTTATTCAGAAAGTGCTTTCCCCTCTCTGCTGGGTCTGATGCAGCCCCGCTCCTGTTTGGGAGTGGCTGTGTCACAACGTGTCCTTAATCCCAAGGACAGGACAAGTGTTTTGTTTCTGGGATCTCTGGGCTTGGCTTCCAGTGAAGCAGCTCTAACCAGGATGGTTTTCCCACCTGCTGCTCTTACAACTGCAGAGGATCAAACTTGCTCCCAGACGCTTCAGACCGGTGAAATTAGAGGGTTAGTTTATGCTGGTGATTGTGTTAGACTGACTGTGGCTATCACCTGCTCCCCTTGGGGTGGCTCTGTGGGTTGTGTGCTCCTGGTGCTGTTCTGTGCAGTCATTAGCAGTCTGGAGGGTGTCATTAGTGGTAGGCTTTTATTTCCAAGATGCTTAGCTCTCCCTCTGGAGTTCTGCAGGGATAACACCATCTTTTCCTCTGTGTCTTGTGCTTTAAGACTCTAAGAATTCTGTTTCATCAGGGCAGAAAAGGGATTTCAGGTTGCCCTCATCAGGTTAGCAGCTCCACACCAAATCATTTCTTGGCAGATATGAGCACTTGCTCTTGGAGTTTTTGTAGCTGTGATGTTCATTTACACCAGCTGGTGCTCAGTGCACAATCCCTCTCCTTCTCTCTTCATGGCTGTTGGCTCTGCACAAGGCAGCTGGATAGGGAAGGGGATTTGGAGATAACAGAAGCCTTTTGAGCCAGCTGGCACAAGGCTTCCATCGCTGTCACCCAGAGCAGCACAGTGTGTGAGTTGGACACAGATTCCCAGAACCACCACTCCGGACCTGCCCAGTCCCTTCACTCTGCCTCTGTCCCCCTTCCCATCGCAATTTCAATAATCAGGTGTGCAGGAGTACCTGGCACATGGCATTGCAGAGCCCTGGGATGTGTCAGGCTCACTCCTGAGGGCACAGCCTGGGCTTCTCAGCCCCAAAGGCACCAGTGTGCTGATTTTTCTCCTCCGAGCAGTTGAGGTCAGACCGTCGCTGTCCCCGACGCTCCTGTCAGGCACACGGGTGTTCTGGTCTGGCAAACCCAAATATTCCTTGGCCAAATGAGCCATTGTTGGATGGCTTTGATTTTTGCAAAAGATGTGTCTCTCATTTCTTTGTTCAACCCTGATACTGCTCCTGTGCCCAAGAGGCAGCACTGGCCAGACCTGCTGGAGATGGGCACTGAGCAAACACAGGGCATCTGGCAAACTGCCCGTGGTGTTCCTCTGCTTCAGGAGGCTGTGCAGGGACAGGGAATGCACTTTACAAAATAAATAGTTATATGGTAGGGAAAATGGTTTGTGGTTTTGTTTGTTTTGTTTTGTTTTACTTTTCTGTGTGGAAGAAATAATAAAAAGCCTGGAATACCTGCTAGCCTATTGTAATTCCCTCAATTTTCACAGATCCAGCTCTGGGATGTACTTGTATCACCCACATTTGTGGCCATATTTGTGGCCCTTTTATTTTTTTTTAGAGGCTTTGGGAATCTTAGTCCTGTGGTAAGATAACAGACACCTGCCTGAAAGGCAGCTCGTCATCTCCTGAAAGAAAACTTCACTCCCCCCTCACTTTTTTTTTTTGCTCTCCCTATATTACCATAATGAAATGTCAGCTTTGCTGCTGAGCAGATGTCTCCTCCTTATTACTGTTGTTGCAGGGTTTCAGTGTTTATCCTGACTGTCTAGCCAGGCTGTTCCAGCATTAACTGGCTCACATCACAGCCTGGCCACGCAGTTGCTGCACATCTGGAAGAGGATGGAAGTGCTGGTGCTCTCCAGCAAGTTTTTGTCTGCTGAGTCTCTTTAATGTGCCAAGGACAGAGTCCCCCAACGCTGCTTTAAACTAAGAGTGGTCCTTGCAGAAAAAATATCTGCAAGTGTGACTTCCCTTCCCCAAGCACAGCCTGGTGGAAAGTTGGCTTGAAAAGAGCAGGTGGTTGAGAGAAGTTTGTTCTTTCTTGTTCCTGGCACACAAAGTGGGGTGCTCTGTAGGGCAGGCTGCCTTGGTGGCAGTGTATGGGCCAGGTTTGTAAAAGCAGGAAAGGGCTGGACCAGCATTTTCCTCCACCTCATTGTGTATTTCCTAGGAGATATGAAAAGAGCTCGTGGGGAGGTATAAAAACAAACATGCTCTATTTGCAAGAAGGAAATGTGAAAACAGAGGTTGGGGCCAGGGGAGGAGGGAGGCTGAGAGGTCCCCTGGGAAGAGCAGAACTAGAGAATTTCCTCTCCCATTCAGTAAAGTCTCTTGTGTTTTCTCCAGTTCTGCTTTTGGGACCATTTTATGTTCTGAAAGTTGGGGGAAGGGGGTATTTTTAAAGTTGTTCTCCAAGTTCCTGAGGAATCAGCCACTTTCCTAGAACTTCCTACTTCGCTCTGTGGCCTGGAAATATCTGTCTTGCAACTGCATTATCACATGAGAGGTTTTTTTTTTTTTGTTGTTGTTGTTGTTTTCAGTGCATCTCAACCTCCAAGCTCTTTGCAAGGGTTTGTGTCATTTTTGGGCTCCATTACAAAGCTTGGTTAGGTAGAGAGCACCTTCTCAGGGTGCTGGCACCAAGCAGCTGGTGATTGCTGCAAGGTTGGAGCTCCATTATTCCATCTTTTGGGTTAGAAATACCCACTGATTTCTGAGCTGTTGGCTGGACTTGCTTGTTGCCTGTTTCATTCTACCTGTGGCTCTGCCCCTTTTGATCAGCTTTGCACCACTGCAGTTTCAAAATAAATGAATTAAAAATGAACCTCTTTATCTGGAACACATAAACATTTAATACAGCAAGTTGCCCAACACATCCCCTGGTATGACGAAGCCAAGCAAATCCACAGAGATTGAGTGGCTTTCCTCTCCAGCAGCTCTGCTTGGTCCCCCTGGTTGAGCTTTCTCTGAGTTTCTCTTTCTTTGCTAAATTCCTGGTGACAGATGTATTTCTGAGAGTTGTGTCCCAGTGAGGCACCAGGAAGAAATGTCTGTAAGGAAATAGCATTTCTTCTACATTGTGTTGCATCCCCAGCAGCAGCTTGGTGTGGAGTGCCTGAGCTTGCACCTTTATTTTCATCCTGCTGGAAAGGTTTCCCCTGTGTTGCTGCCATGGCCAGCCATGCTCCTGTTTGGGGTTTTTTTTTTTCAGTGCACTACCAGAAGATCATCCACCGGGACATCAAACCTTCCAACTTGCTCCTGGGAGACGATGGGCACATCAAAATCGCTGATTTTGGAGTCAGCAATCAGTTTGAAGGAAATGATGCCCAGCTCTCCAGCACGGCAGGGACACCAGCCTTCATGGCACCAGAGGCCATCTCACAGACTGGCAAGAGTTTCAGTGGAAAGGTGGGTCTTTGCTCTCAGCTCAGGTGCCCCCTGGGATCCCCAGGCATGGCACAAAGGGCAGCACCCCACCTGCATCCTCTCCTGTTGCCCATCCAGCGATTCTGGTGCAAATTTGGGTTGTTCTTTACTAAAACTGAAGCTCTAATTCTGTCTGGTCCAGGCAAAACTCACTCTGTGCAGTGGGCAGACACTTTGCTGTGGATTCCTGCCCAGGCAGCAGCCATTTCCCTGCCCAAAGGGAAAGGAGGAAGCTCTTGCTTCCCCTCCAAAATAATCAAGAGGCACCAAGGGGGGCTGCTGGGCACCAAGGTCATATCTTGATTCCCTGGAAGGCACTGCTGAGGGTGGTAATGCAGACATGGGGGCAAGGTCTAATGGGGATTTTTTGCCTGGAAGACTTTTGAGATTCAGCCCTGAATGGTGTAATTTACTTGTAAGAAGGGGCTGCTTTCTGGTTCTCCACAGCAAGGACAAGGAAGCAGTGCCTGACCCAGCACAGTCCTCATTCCCCAGGGCTGCTACTGATGCCTTCAGGAGCCCAACTTCAAAGACACCCTGCACAGTAACACAGAAACTGCTAAATCCATACAAACAGCGTTCTGTGAATCAGTGGGAAAATCCAGCTCATTCAGATCATCTGTGTTGCGTCTCCTTGACTGCCTGTACCTGCTTTTTTTCAGGCTCTGGATGTCTGGGCCATGGGAATCACCCTGTACTGCTTTGTTTACGGGAAGGTAAGCTGGCTCTCAGCTGCTGGAGCCCTGCATGGCAGTGTCTGTCTGCCTGGCTTTTGACTCGTTCCTTTCCAAATAAAGGCAAGGATTAGAAACAAGGACCCACCTTCTGCAAGCTCCCAAATCCCTCTGTGGATGAGAAGGGGCTGACATTGTGGAAAGGATCATTTCCAGCACTGATCTCTGTTTGCAGGGACGTTGTTCATGCTACAGACCTAGAGCAGCATCAATAGCACCAACAACAGTTTGTGGGGGGCATTATCCATATTAGAAAACGAGCTATTTATTTAAAATTCTGTGTTTAAAAATTTACACAGAGCGTGGAGAGAGGCATAGGATTGATCCCAAGCTGCTGCAGCCCTTTAGCAAACCAGGTTACAGAAAGCCCTGTCTGCCAAAGCTGAGTTGGGCCAGATGGAGCCCAGTTTGGCAAAGCCTTCTGCAAACTGCACCTCCTGTCATGGCATTTCCCTTGCCTGTGGCCAGAACCCCCTTCTCCCACCCACACTCTACCACCAGGTATGAGTGCAGGAGTATTATCTGAACTCCTACCCAAGCTCAGACCACTGCAGATGCCACCACACAGGCATCAGGGGTAAGAAGTGGCCAGGGAAGATGGCAGAGCCAGTTCATGGTCACCAGGCAGGCTGGATGAGGGAGGATATCCCAGTCCAGTTATATATTCCCCAGATCCCTCTGCTGTTCTTCTGCCTTTATTTTTTAATAAGGAACAAATCAATTCATTGTGCTGGGGAAGATTGTATTTATTTCCATCTCTGTGTAAAATCGAGGGATTACAGGGAGTGCACTTGTGTTACATGAATGACAAATGCATGACTTGTGCCAGGATCTCTAACAGCTGGAAAATCTCTTGTTTATTTTACAGTGCCCTTTTATAGATGAATATATTCTGGGTCTTCATAACAGGATCAAGACCAAGCCTGTGGAGTTCCCAGAAGAGTGAGTAAACTTTACTCTGCTACTGTACAATAAAGTTCAGTTTTCAGCCTTATTCTCTGTGCAGCACAAATGCCAGTGGGTCACTGTGGAGGGGCAGCCATGGGTGGGTGAGGTGCTCTGTGTTCTCCTGGGTCCTTCACGTGGGTTTTGTGCTGGTGATGCTGTTGAGGTGTCACAGCTGCCTCTGCTGATCCTCTGTGCTTGTTGTGCAGACAAGGACTAGAGGAAATGGCTCTTAATCTTTGGAAGTGAAGGGATTTCATTATGGGTCTAAGAAGTTCTGACCCAGGTGTGTGGTTTTGTTGGGTGGGTTGTGTTTCTCCCCATGTGGCAGCCACTGGAATGACTCAGTATATTCATTTTCAAAAGCAGAGTGGTTATAGACCTCAGTCTTGGTCTAAATAAATGCATCCCTCTTCTGTGGACTCGCCTTGGAGCTGGGAGAAGTGTCTGATGGAAGGATGCTTGTCCCAAGATACACAACCACAGCTCGGTGAATCCCACTGCTCTGCCTCCTCCAACACACCACAGGAGAACATGGGTTTGTCTTTTGCACTAGCAAACTGAGGCTAGTTATGAAAAAACGCTCATAAATCAGTTTACAGATGTGATATTGAGGGGCTGCCCCCACCCTCCTTCAACCAGTGAAGGAAACCCACGCTGGGCACGGTGGGAGCTGCTGGGCTGTGCCAGCTGGGATGGCCAGCTGTGGTCACAGTGCTCAGCAGGGCAGGGGGACGAGCCAGCGCCACTCACATGGTGTTCGGGCAGTGGGAAGTTCAGTACAGAGGTGATGAGTGTGTGTGTTCTTGCCAGAATGTGAGTACATTCCATGTGTGTGCTCAGCCGTGGTGGCTCGGTAAAATTACTTGATTTCAAGCACAAAGAAATTAGAACTCCAATGAAAGGCACATCTGGTGTTAGAGAGGAAGGGAGAGGGATGCTGTCAGGCAGCCTGTGATCCATGCATGTATCCACCATCCATGACATGAATTCTGTGAGATGCTCACTGAATTTTCAAACACTACAATGAAGGGCCGAACCTCTGCCTTGGCAGTCCCAGGCTCTGAGTCTGCAGAAGGTGATGGGGTCCTCAGGCTGCCCTGTTTTATTCATCTGACTCATGGCCTGGGCTGCATTAATTAGCTCTGCATTGAGGGAAGCACAGCCACTGCAGAAAGCTGAGCCAGAGCCATCTCTGCCCCAGCTGGTGGAGCTCACACCGGACTCTGTGGAACACATCTCCAAGGATCTGGGCCACAGGGTCAACCCACTTGTTAGATAGCTCACACAGACCCCAGTCCTGGGTGTGGAGCAGCTCTGGCAGGGCCAGGTGACCAGGGTTCAGGCATCAGGAGCACAAAGGCTGCTCATGCTCCATTGCCACGTTCCCACCAGTTGCTCTGCAGATGGGGCAGGACTTTGTCTTGTCAGTGTTGCAGCAAAATGTTTATGTTTCCCTGGCAGCCTTCTCCCCTTGCTCGGGTCCTGGCAAAACACCCACCCTCCCTCAGCCACCCTGTATTTGGGTTAGCAGTCAGCTCACAAGTGACTGTTCCCATCTGCCTCTGCAGTAAGTTATTAACATTTAATGGGCTGACTGGGTTGTGCTGAGATCCTTTCCTTCATTCAGGCATTTCCTTCAGCGATAATTGGGCTGCGTGATTTATGTGGATTCCTCAGTGACCTGCTCTCCCAGTCTAAAAAAAGCTGTCCCCCTGGTTAGGTGGTTGGAGCAGAGGGTTCCTGGGTGTTGACAGCTCTCCAAACCACATCTACTTGTTAGATAAAGGCAGCAGCAGAGACGCACATCAAGCTGGAATTCACTGGAGCGGATCCACCCTGACCTCCCACAGAATTAGCACCTCACTATAGTTAGGAGTATTTTGGGTTCAATTTATTTCACCATGGCTACAAAAGACACACTGCTCTTTGCAGACAGCCCGTGGAAACCCATTGCCTGTTTCCTGACAGGCTGTAGGACAGATGGAGCTGACGGTACCGGCGTCACCGTCCTGTCCCTTCCCTTAGAGACACCGGGATAAATATTTATGGCACTGCAGTTCTCATTCATGTCACTGAGCCCTTGGTGTGACACGAGGTAAACGGGGTTAGCTCACACACCCTGATGATCCTGGCATGACTGAAAAACAAGCTGGAGCAGTTTCTGTTTAGATGTGTATTAAGAGAGTCATAAGCTCTGCACGGTCCCTCCTGGTGAAGTCCAGGGCAATGTTCTCTGACCTGCAGGCACCCTGTAAGGTGATCTGAGGTGCTGGCAGCCCTCCCAAATGGGCACTAAGCTCTGTGGTGCTTGGCATTTTCCTGAGAGCTGTTACAGGACTATGACTGTGAGAAAACCCAGACAGCAGAGGCTTTTCAGATGAAAAATGCCATCAGGTACAGCCTGCACCTTACCCTGACACACTAGGGAGAAGGAAAATCAGGGACAGGGTGATGTGATCTGTTATGTGGCCATAACCCACCTGACACTTTGTGATCCTGTTTACAGGGCCTCTCCTTATGACATTAGTCCTGTGTTGCACAGAAATCAGTCTGGTGCCCAGAAATGTTAGGTGATCATATGTTCTATTTCTTGTGTCTTAAAGCGAGCTGTTGACAGTTTGGCACAGAACTGATGTTAAGTGTTTTAAAAGCACCATCTCACCTGCGTCCATGTGGTCTCTGGGAGGAGCCTGTTTATTCTGACTTGCTAAATGCACTGTCACTGCCCAGTGCTGTTCCTCTGTGCCTGGAGCTCATCCCAAGAGCAGCACCATTCTTCCCATTCCCACCTAAATTGTCACCTGAGTCTCTGAGGACTCATCCTGTCATTGCCCTTGTCTGGGCTGTATTGCCTGTGTACTGCACACCCTTGGGGCAACTCTGAAAGTGGTTAGACTTTAAACTGAACCCACTTTCTGCCCCTTCCCACTGAATGACCAGCGTTCCTTTGGTTGTTTGGAAAGATCCCATAACCAAAGTCCTCTTAAAGTATTCATAACTTATCAAACAGCGGCTCTGCTTTCATCAGACTAAAATATCCCTTACTGTGATGTGGTTTTCATGTTGGTTTGTGATAGTTTATTCCCTTCTCTGCTTGGGGCAGTGCAGAGGAGGTGGGCACAGCACCTGGTCCTCACCAGCGTTTTCAATCTCAGATCCAGCCCTGCTGGGCAGTGATGTTTTGTGCTGCCAAATTCCATCTCTGTGCAGTTCTTCAGGAGTCATTCGTGACACAGACTTTGAGCTGCCTAATGTGATTCTGTCACATGCTGGCATTTTAATGCAGCAGCCCTTTGATCACACAGATCTGGTGTGTTTGGAAGATGTTGCCTACATCATTAACCACAGGAGTCATTGCAGCCTTTGGGCTGGAGGGACAAACTGCAGGACCAAGGACACCATGTGAATAGAGTGGCTTCTGAGTTCAGGCACTGTAGCATTTAGATCTTGGAAATAGTGTTGAAAATCATGTGTATTTCTCTTACATCTCTTTATTCCCTCCTTTAGTTACTCCAAGGCTGAGCTGTGCAGGTAGGAAATGCAGAGTTACTGTCTGGCTGCCATCAGTGTTCGTGGAAGCAATTTAATTAACACAACCTGCAGGCTTAGCTGGGAATTTAAATATCATATGGGGGAGGTTTCATCCAGCACACAGCTGCTCATGATGCACGTTCAGCAAATCAAGCTGTGCCCTTTTTGATCTGTACAGTTCTGCTCTCAGGAAGGTTTTGTTGTCCTGGAATCTGCCCTCTGAACTTTCCCTATGTTGTGCTGTCTTTACAGATGTTCTTAGGTCCGTTCACTTGGTATTTTCTTGTGCATTTTGAGAGGGTGCCTTTGTGTTAGCGGGCAGGACAGGAGAACCAAGCTCTGTAACTGTGGTGCCTGAGGAGGAACCAAGCCAACGAGAGCTTCCTTTCTCAAGCCAGGTTTGCAGACCAAATATCTCCTGAGTGGAGCAGGTTCCCTACCAAGTAACTGCAGAAAGAACTGGGTGTCTTGAGCCCTTACAATTCCCTCGTTAACTGCCTGCTGCTTGTTCTCTTCACTCAGGGCACAGATAAGTGATGAGCTCAAGGAACTGATGCTGCGCATGCTGGATAAAAATCCAGAAACAAGGATAACAGTCCCTGAAATTAAGGTAAATTGGACTTTGATATTAGAGTTTTCAGTCTCATCTGATTTTGTTGTTCCTGTGGTACCTCCTAACGAGGCAGAGCTGTTCCCAGTGTTTGTTTTGGGAGCTCTCCCTGGCACGGAAAGGGAGAGCGCTGATTTTGCAGCATCCCACAGCTCTGTCGATGCTTCTTGCTTGGGGAATATTGACAAAAACCTTTCTTGTTTGCTTATTTCAATGAAAATTACTCAAAAGCTGGCTGATCTCAGTGGATCCCTGGGAGAATCGACACTGTCAGGGGGACTGCAGAGCCCGTGCTGGCAGTGTGGGACCTGTTAGGGGGGCTGGATTTGTGTTCCTCGTGTGGTCAGTGGCCTCAAGGCAGAACATTTGTTCTCAAGGCAGAACCATTACTTGGGAGATGCTTATTAACAGAAAGAATGAATAGGCCTGGCAGAGCACAATGCTTCACAGGGTTTGGTTTTATTCTGGTTTTGCATGGGCTCGCTGTCCTCCTGTCACCCCTCGCTGAGGCCTCAGACCTGCTGCAGGATCTCAAGATTTCCAAAGGGATCCATCAGCATCCTCTGCAGGGCACACAGCTCTTGTTTGCTTTGTCCTGGGTCAACACCAGCACATTTGCCACCAAACCTGACAATAGAAAGGTTAAACTTCAAGGAAAAAAAAATGTGACATCTCTTCCCTCCGTGCCCAGTCGGTCACAGCCGGTGATGTGGGAAATCCTTTGGAGCTGTATTTGTGGGATTTCACTCTACAGCTCTTGCAGGGCATTTCATGTGCATCCTATAAGATCCCTTGGGTAGAAAAACAGAGCTGGGTGCTGGTTCTTGTCCCTGGCCATGCACTGAAGGTGCTTGGTGTGCCTGGGGCCTTGCCTTGGGTGCTGACAGAGCACATGTCCCCAGTGCCAGGCTGGGCTCTGGGCTCAGCCCATGCCCTTGGACGGAGCCTTCCTCATGTTCACAGCCAAGAAAACATCTCTCCCATGACAGACAGCAGGAACAGGGGGGCTTTCCTCTGCTGCATGTGAGAGAAAAAGATGAAAACATTCTGGATAACTCAGGTTTCCAAAGCGTTTCAGGCCTGAGTCAGAGGGTGCTGGGTTCCTCCCAGGTGCTGGTTGGTGGCAGTGGGTGGGACAGCCCTTAGCCCTGCACAGACACCCCAACAACCCCACCCTGTGCCTGAGTGTTGTCCAAACCCTCCTGGAGCTCTGGCAGCCTTGGGGCTGTGCCCACTGCCCTGGGGAGCCTGTTCAGTGCCAACCACCCTCTGGGGGAAGAACCTTTGGCTGAGATCCACCCTGAGCCTGCCCTGACACAGCTCCAGCCATTCCCTGGGGGCTGTCCCTGCTCCCCCCAGAGCAGAGCTCAGTCCTGCCCCTCCTCTGCCCTTCCCCAGGCAGCTGGAACTGCACTGAGGTCTCCCCTCAGTCTCCTCCAGCTGAACACACCAAATGCCCCCAGCTGCTCCTCACACAGCTTCCCCTCCAGACCCTTCATCACCTCCTTTGGATGCCCTGTAAAGGCTCAATATCTCTCCTACACTGCGGTGACCAAAACTTCCAAGGAAACCGGAACAAAAGCACTGCTGGGAGTGGAAAATGGAACAGCCCAGCCCAGCCCTGTGCCCCACTTCCCTCCCACCCCAGCATCCCAGAGCTGTGGTGCAGGAGGCAGGGCCAGAGCCGTGTCTGTCCCTCCCCAGGTGCACCCTTGGCTGACCAGGGGCGGGGAGGAGCCGCTGCCGCTGGAGGAGGAGCACTGCTCCGTGGTGGAGGTGACCGAGGAGGAGGTGAAGAACTCGGTGAAGACCATCCCCAGTTTGCCAGCTGTGGTAGGTACAAACCACAGCCACGTCCTGTGCACTGGGCGAGGGCGTGGGGCTCTGCTGAAGCCTTCAGCTGGTGGGGAGGGAGGTTTGGAGAGGGAGGCACGTGAGCTGCTGGCATGGAAAGCTTGGCCTTTCCACCCAGTGTGAACTTGTTGTGTCAGAGCGCTGCAGCAGCCTGAGTGTCAAGTAGCTGTTCTGTGGGTTCCTTCACTTCGTGCTCTTTGCTGTAACGCTGTTAAATGTCTGTTGAATTATTGAAGAAGGTGTTGTTACTCCTCTGAACTGCCTTCAAGGAGTCGGTCCTGCTGTTCTCACTGGTCTGTTTTGCTTCCTCAAAGATCCTGGTGAAGGCCATGCTGAGAAAACGCTCCTTTGGAAATCCCTTCGAGGTCCAGGCGAGGCGGGAGGAGAGATCCATGTCTGCCCCAGGGAATTTGCTGATGTAGGTACCCACAGCCTTGCCTGGCAGAGCAAAGGTGCCTGGGGAGGGTGGAGGAGGCAGTTTGCAAATCTTTTCTTGTAGCATTCAAGGACAAAACTCCCTTCTAAATCAAATACTGAAGATAAAATCTGCCTCAGATTGAAATACAATGCATTAATACAGCCTAAAAGCTCTTTTTTTTTTTTTATACATACAATTCTCTCTGTAAGATGGGTTTGACCTAAACACATATAAGGTGCTCAACTTGGGTCTGTTTTTTTTACCTGTTTGTTTATAACACTCTGTGATCAAAGATCCATTAGAAACTGGTGAAAACAAAATAAGTTTAACTGGAATTTAGTCAAGATATGTATTACAGGGTTTAATTCTTCTCTCCTTTTTATGGACAACAGAACTGGTACCAGATGAGCAGTTTGTGTGCTTTTTAAACTCAAAATGAGATGATGGGGTTTGAGTATGGTCCGGGGCCCAAGTCTGGGCACAGACACGTGGGCTGACAAAGAACACTTGGAAATTGCTTTTTCATTGGAGAGCACATACAGTATTTTTTCCACACTGACAGTTATGAAATAGTGGAACATGTTGCAGCAGGATATTTTGGAGGCTGGATATAAATGGCTATATTGGGATTAAGAAGGGAATAGACATATTAATGACTAATAGGTTCATCAACAGCTTTTAAACATGATGTTCTCTATGTGCAGGGATGGGGAGAGAATTCCTCTGCCCTTTACTTGGTTCTTACTATTCCTCCCTCATTTTTATCACTGATTCCTTTCAGAGACAGGATTCTGGGCCATCAGTCCAGTAAGTACCAGCTGATCTGGGACAATTATGTTTGTGTAAATAAAGTTCTCACCCCGTGAGATCTGTAAGGCTTGGTTCACAACAAAGCTGTGTCGTCCCAAAATGATGCTTTTCCACCCAAAATCTCAGCACCGTGCCTAGCAGACTCCCCTGAGGGTGTGCTGATTCTCACTGCACCGACTGACAGTGCCATTAGAGGAGTCTCTCTCTGCCTCTTCCAGGTGTGTGGGGATTTGAGGGCTCAGCTCAATTAAGGATGATAATTGCTTTAGGTCCCAGCTGTGTATTGGAGACCACTAAAAACTCTGCCTTGGAGTCCAGGGCCAGACCCCACTTTAACACCCTGCACACGAGTGCTGCTGGGGGACATTCCTGGAGCGTGGCAGTCGCAGCTCCTTTGCCAGCTTAGCACAAGGGATTTGTCCTCCTTTGTTTCCCTTGGCTCAGTGCCTTCCAAATTAGTTATTGCTAATTGGGCACATGCCCCTACCCAGTCTTCACTGCCACTCCTGGTCCCTGCATGGTGTTACTCTGAGATGGGGTAACATTTACTGAATTTGGAGAAAAATGTATTTTGTTCTTCCTAGTGTCCCAGACAGCTCACTCAGAGCAAGGCAGGATTTCTTCTTTTCAAACCCTGCCTGAGCTGATATTTCAAGGTGATCACACTGAGCCTGCTTCCAAAAGGAACCTGTTCCCTTCCACTTTCACTGGAGATGCTTGAAAACCTGTGCCACCAACTACCCATCTAGTGGGAAAACTCCTTAATCCTGTGGCTGGTTCCTGCCTGGAGCTGGTGCTTTATTACCTTCCCAGATTAAGTAAAGTTCATTTGATCTCACATAGCTGTGAAGCTTCTGATCAGCCACATAATCAATGTCTAACCCTTTTAACATCATTTTAGGCCTCCAGGATGAGCTGTAAGCCTCCGCTTTTATTTGCCTCCTTTCTAAAGTTGCAGGTCAAATTCTTCTCAGCTTATACAGACCCAGCATCTTTCCCTGTCTCTGCTCATTCCATCCCTGTTTTATTCAGGCTCCCTGTACAGACTAAAAGGGGGTTTTTAAAAGTGTCTCGTTTCCACTTTTGTGCTGCTGAAAAACATTTCAGGCCAGGGATGGAGCTGTGGCCATGCTGGGCTGGCCTCTGCCCAGCCAGGTTAATGTCTAAAATTAATATGAAGGGCCTTTGAATGTGCCAGTTCTCCACTGCACTAATCCCTGCTCTTCATTTCTCAGTTTCATGCCACCAGTGCCAGTTTTTTGGCAGTAACAATTGACTTTATCCTAAATTAATTCATGCACAACTGGAGCTTTGAGAACCCATCTCAAACCCCTCCTGTTTAAAAGGAAAACATTGGCCAAGTCTCTTCAACAAAGTGTTGTATATTAAACACTCCAGCAGGGATGCTCCTTTTAAGGCATGTGCATTATTATTATTTTAAACTTTGGAAAATGCTTTACTGGCTGAACCTAATGAAAATTGCTTCAAATTTAAATAGATGTGTTGAATCTAATGACATTAATTATAAGTGAACCGAGTCTAAATGGGAATGTTCATTGTTCAGTGACTTATCTCTTGATTACAGTGTTATTTCCACAGGGACAAACAGAGTAGACACTAAGCTCATCCAGTCCTTAATTCATAGTGGGTTGTTCCTTAGGAAGAAAACCCTTAATACACATATAAAGTACAACATCAGTGCCAATGTTATGAATAGCGCTGCGTAAATTAAAATAAATTTCAAGTGAGTCTCCATTGCCATAAATTTTTAGGACCCTGCAGGAACAGAGCATGTTGTTGTAGTAAAGGCTCTGCAGTGTTTCTGCATGTCCAGCACCCTTGTGGCTGGACAGGGGACCCCAAAAGTGGGATTTGGCAGAAGAGCAGTGCCTGCAGCTATCGCTGCTCTCTGGATGTGTGGTTGCCCACGAGGAGCTGAGACAAAAACAAGCCACACGTTCCCAAGCTCTCCTCCCCAGAGCTCCTCCTCCCCAGTGGCAATGTCTTCAGAGACAGCTAAATCAGCTCTTGTAACTGCATCTCCTTCTTTCTAGTTATAGGTAGGAAATAACTCCTTGTGTTGCCATGGAAGAGAGAAAGAAAAGCAATTAGAAAACCCCAGTTTTCATTCAATTTATTTAATTGGACCGCATGTGAAGTTGCCAGAGCCCCACTCACTGCTGCTTCAAGCATCTTATATCTGTGCCCATTCTGAGGATATGTTTTGCAGGAAATCCTCTGGCAGCTGAACCTGCTTTCTGGCACTGGATGCCTAATTGGTGATTCTTAAAATGGAGCTGTCCTTGAGATTTGGAGAGGGGGAAGCTGAATCATGTGGCTGAATCTCTTTTCATTTCTCCCTGCATTACCTACACAGTGTGCTGGGCTCTGCTGGGGGGGGGCTTTCGTGTTGGTAGCCTTGGTTTCTTTAGAGGACACCATTAAGACACCAGCGATTTGAAACAGTTCTTAAATTAATACTGGGGGGAGAGAAGGCTTTTTTAGCACTCCTTAGAGCTGGAAGAAGCAGACCCTCTCCTGGCTGTTATTTATTGCTCTGTTTATCAGCACTGAACAGTTTGAAAAGCAGCTGTCAAGTGCAGGCACGCTCAGCAGGTGGAGAGGAACCGAAATGAAGATGCCCCCATTTAACAGTTCTTGCTTTGCACACCCAGAGCTGTGTGAGTGCTGCAGGCTGTCTCCTCACCCTGTCACCTGGGGGGGTGTCCAGGTGTCCCTGGATCCTGCCTTTCCTGCAGGATCTCCCGGAGAGGCAGTGATTGATGGAGCCCTGCAGGTCGTGGCCAGGTTCAAGCCCATCATTAACAGTGGCTGCAGAGGCAACTGATCCTTTCTAAATTTCCAGTTTCACGGTATTTTTTTTTTTTTAAGCCCAGCTGTTCACAGCTGAGTTCTGGGTTTGTGTTTGCTGCATTTCTTCTGCCTTCTCCAGATTTCTCTTAATTGAGTCAGCACTGGCTTCACCACATTTTATTGCTCTCATTTATTGCAAGTACTACCTATCAAATTAATTGCTGTGTTTTGACAGACCCAATTTACTTTCCCATTATGGCTGCTGTTGCTACTGATGGAATGCGGTTGTCAGCTCCTATATGGGGGATCAGTTGGTATTTAAAAAGCCTGCCCTGTTTCCAGCCTTCCCAAAAAAAGAGCAAAAGAGCCATCACTGCCCTTAAGGCCATATTATCCATGTAAGTTAGGCATGAGGAAGCCAGGGGGGAAAAGGAGATAAAAAAAGTGTCTGACCCAGGTCTCCAAGCAGAAACAGCTTCTCCCAAAGCAGCCTGGAGGTGCCTGCCTCGCAGGGACTCTGAGCTGAGGGAGTTCCAGGGCTTAGTGCCACAGGGCTGCTCAAGAACAGGCTGCAGAGGTTCTCCTAGGGCAGCCAAGGTGACAGCATCAGCTTTGACAAGGGAAGAACTGCAGGCTGGGTTTAAATTTGCCAGATGTTTGCACTAAAGATGCCCCCTTGGTCTCTGGTGGTGCTCAGTGTCTGTCTCTCCAGTCCCGGGGAGATTCTGGGTCGGGACCACATCGATGCTGTCAGAACAGAGTGAAACCCAACCAAAAGCCTTATCAGTTTTCACTGCAGAGGGAACTGCATGTCTTGTGGGAAGAGCCATGCCCCACATGCAGGTAGGGATCCTCACAGGACCAAGGCTGTGGCACAGGATTTTCCTCTGGAATGACCCACCATCGGCAGGTCCCTCCAGCAAAGGCCCCACTGCTGCTGTGGCTCTGCCCCACTGCATTGGTGGTGATGCCAGGCCATGAGAGGAGACAAAACCTCCAGAGGAGCCAAATTACATGGCCCAGGGACATCAGCAGTGTGCTGGAAGCTGTCTACAGCTTTCAGCAGTGGTAGGGGCTGGAGTGGGTTTGTACCAGTACCCGTCCTCATCTGTGTTCCCCAGGCTACAAGTAAATGTGGCTGGTGCTGCTTCCTCCATTCCACTCTGCTCACTGGGCTGGTTAAGGCACAGAAAGACAAGCTCCTTGGCCTGCTGCCATCATCTTCATGATCACTTTCTTCCTTTGTCTCGTTGTTTTGCTCTCAGGGACAGATTCCTCTTAAACACATCCGTACATTTGCATCCATCTTTAAGGTAATTCCGTGTCTGTGTTTCCCCTGGGTGCTGTAGAAACCCCCTCAGCCTGTGTGTCCCCTCCTCAGCCTGTCTGATTTGTGTGGTAGTGAGAACATTTGGCTCCATCCTTCCTTCCTGTAGGAGCAGTTTTGCTGCACTCATTCTGTGTGTGTGTGTGACACTAATGTTTATGAATGCTTTTTATGCTCATTGCTATTTGTGATTCCTTGGCATTTCAACTGCTTTAAGGGAGGGAGGGGTGAAAAAAAGCCAGGGGGGTGTTAGCAGGAACTGGTGCTCAGTTTGTGGAGGGAATAGCTGCAGAATTTGGGGAAGGCTGAGGTTTGGAATTTGGGCTCAAGTTTGATATTTAGTGATGATGCAGAAGAAATAGGGCTGGAGCCATCTCTGCTCCAGATGCTCCTCTGTTCTCCTGCCTCTGGTGCAGCACTGAGAAGACTGGAATTGGTTGCTCCAGGTGACCACCCAACCCCACCTCCACCAGGGCTTCATCAAATCGTGGTCATCTGTCCAACCACTTGCACAGACCCTTTTGAGAAGTGGTTGGGCCACTTAATTCTGCTGAATAACTGAATAGCATTAATGCAATCCATGACAAGCTGCTTACAAACATCATGGTGTGAAGTCCCAGGATCCAGTGCTGAGGCAGGACACACCTCCAGCCAGGCCTGAGATCTGGGCTGGGCTGAGACACTGGCAAAGAGCTGCACAGCTCTGAATACCTTTGGGAGCAGCTCTGGAGACTCTGCCTGGCTCCTGGTTTATCACTCCGAGACAAACGGATGAGCCAGAGCCAGGATGTTGCCTGCTCTGAGTGAGGAAGGACTTGCAGAGATTCTCCAAAAATAGTTAGGGGAAGGCAGGGGAGGAGGATGGCGAGTGCCACGGTGCCGGTGGGGACAGCTGGTGCCGCTGCCTGCTGCTGCTTTTTCCGTGGGGAGAAAGGGATTTCAGCAGCCTGGATAGGGGCAGACTGCTGGTGTTTAGTGGGGGCTTAGTGGAGGAATTAAGCACATGCCAGGGTGGTGTGTGTATGCTGTGATTCGGTAGGTTGTCCCACTCCATCCCTGTCCTGTGTTTTGGAGGGAGGTGCTGTGAGGCTCCTCAGTGTCTGTGATCTCCCTGCAGCTCCCGTGGTGAGCAGCCCTGTCCTCTCCTGGATAACTGCACAGGTCAGGCTTTGCTCGTCGGTGGCTTAGAAATTGTAGCAGAAATGCACTCTTATTTTTTACAAGGAGTAATTTAACAGAGATTCTCATCCAGCCTCAGGCCTCACAGCATGAGCCAGGTTCCTGTGCAGACTGTGGAGTGCTGGTGTCTGATCTCTGCTGCTCCACGGGCAGCCCCAGGTTTTTGGCTGGTGTTTGCCAGTGTGAGGGTCCTTTCCCCCTGACACGAGGTGTCTGGGGAGGCAGGGGCTGCTCGAGGTGCTGGGGGAACATTGAACACACCCCAGGCAGGGAGCAGGAGCAGCAGGATGTGCTGGGCTGTGCCAGAGAGCAGAGCCTCAGCTGGTAAATGTGGTGATCAGTCATTTAAAGAGGGTGATGACAGGCACTGAAGACAGAGCTGTTCCTCAGCCTCCCCCGCAGGGAAATGGTCCCTGAGTTCAAGGTCAGGTTCCTTGCAGGGCTTTGCTGGAGCAGAGGGAAAAGAGAACATGATTTTTGATCGTCTCTGGTTTCTTCAGAAATTGTTTTAGCTTTGTGTGTGCTTTCAGTGTTGTTCCCAGACGGAGCTCCAAACCCACATTTCCCAAATGCTGTGTGCCCCAGACACTGTGCAGCAGTGCTGATGCTCCACTGCAGAGCTGGCTTGCCCATGCAGATTCTCCTACAGAATTCCCTGGAGCAGGTTGCCCAGGGAAGTTGTGGGTGCCCCACCCTGGAAATGTGCAAGGCCGGTTTGGATGGGGCTCTGAGCAACCTGGTCTAGTTGAAGGTGTCCCTGCCCACGGCAGGGGGGTTGGAACAAGATAAGATGAACATTAAGGTCCCCCTTCCAACCCAAACCATTCCATGATGCAACCAGGCTGCCCTGAGTGAGGCTGGACACGCTGGGAGACACAGATTCTTAGAGTATCATCAGCTCCTTGATGCTGTGGATATCTTCATGATGGAGAAATGGGTGTTGTAGGCGAAGGCATCAGCCTGCCATCAGTCACTGCTGTGGGATGTTGTGGGTGGCACCCGGAGGTGTCCCCTCTTCTCAGTCCAGTCCAGAGCAGTGACAGCTTTCTCTGGTCAAATCTTGGCCATGGGCTGTGTGTGGATGGCTGGGCTGGGTGGAGGTGTTGCTGCTCAAGGATGCCCCAGAGTGCAGGTGCAGCTCAAGCCTTCTCCATGAGAAAACAGCAGAAATTTTAGGAATAGGAGGAAAAGGCTGAAGGTATCGTGGTGAATGTGCTAATGCAAGTAAGTTACTTTGGTTATAATTCTGTGACTGCTGCTCTCAGGATTTGGGTGCTGCCATTCTGGGGACCAGACAAACTCACAGAAGCTGAAATCACAGTTTTTGTGTAGGACAAACTGAGCTCTGGTGGAAACATTTAGTTTTATTGCCATTTACAGCGGGGCTTTGGAGAAGCAGTTAAGGGATGAAGCCATCCCTCTGATCTTTGTGAAAAAATCGGATTAAAGGAAAGCAAGCCAGAACTCTCCAAATACAAACTGGATAATTTGAAAACATTGCTGCCAGTCTGCAGGACTTTCCCCAAGAACCAGATACCTCCTTGTGATGCTGCAGCTGGAGAAAGGCACTCAGGGAAGTGCAAAGCTCAGTTTTTGGGATGCAGAGACCAAGCAAGCGTCCAGGCACAGGCTGCACATCACTGCAGGGGTATTGCTGAGGTGTTCCCGTGGTACCAGCACAACAGGCTGGTTCATTGCTGTTCCCCCTTAATATTGATATTGCTGAGCTGGGTTGGACAGAACACCCCCTGCCTTGCTCTGTGCCTATAATCTCTTTGTTCCTTCACCCTTCCTGTAGAAAACAAGGAAGCAGAGAAGGATCCAGGGACCCCGAGCTGCCCGATGTGTGTGAAGACGAAGCCACGTCCTGAGGCCGCCCGGCCGGTCCCGCCCGTGCTGCTGCTGTTGTGCCCATCGTGGTGTCGTGTAGCACCATCGCCCTCATCACCCCCTCTGGGGCCTGCAAAGCAAAAAACAAACAAAAAAAACCCACAACAAAACCACAACCAAACAAAAACCACCAAACTGGGACCCAGCCAGAAAACCAGGCAGGAGGAGCAGAGCAGCCAGAAGGAGCAGAGCGAGTCCTCGGGCGAGGCGTCCGTGCCCTCCTCCGTGTGTGCCTTGCTCTCCACTTGTGCTTCACCCCTGGGCTCTGTCCCTGGGTGTCTTGGCTGAGGAATGTGGGTTTATTTGTAACGTTGTCTCAGGGGTCCTTCGCCCCAGAGGCCTTTTCCTTGCGTTTTTGCGTTCTCTCGTTTCAAGCATCAGGAGGAAAAGCGACGTCGGAGCCAGGTTTTGTGTCAGAGGGCGACTGTTTTATTGAATGCACAAGCAAAGCACCTCTGTTTGTCAGGACACAGTCCTGCTCCTGCTGTGGAGCTGAGGGCAGAATTTGGGTATCAGTTAAAAGAGGATGAGATCTTGCTTTTGGAGCGAACACTCTCCCTCCCAATGCCTTTCTTTCTCTTTTCTTTTCCTGCTCCTGTCCCCCCTCGGTTTTGCACAGCTGTCAGTCCTGCTTGCTTCAGTCAGGGCAGTGTTGTGAAACAGAGCTTGCACCATGCAGTGAGCCTTGGGATGTCACAGAGCTCTGGAGCAGGGGGATATGCTGCTCCATGGAACAGCTTAGTGCCCCAGGGACACCTGCTGACCAAGGCTGCTCTTCCCAAAGAGCTGGGAATGCCCCCCCTCAGCTGCACCCACTCCTGCGCCCACGGACCTTGTTCTCAAGCTGGAGAGAGCTGCAGGTTTTGGGGTTATTTTATTTCATTCATTTCCCTCACTCATCTCTTACCTGATGCTTTTAAACTTTGGTTTCCTGAAAACCACCCCAACTGGGAGAGCTCCCTAGGATGGAAAATGCTGGTGGAGGGTTTTTAGACTGAGGAAAGCTACAGAACACAAGATCACAACTTGATCTTCTTTTGATTTATTTTTTTAAGGCTTTAATTTTTAATTTTATTTTAAGACTGTAATTTTTATGCATGTGCTGATGCTGCTATTTTATCCATAGATTGCTTCTAAACTTGGAATTAGAAGCTTCATCTCTACAGTTTGACAACAGGTGAGAGATTGCACTTGAAAAGGAAATGCAGCCATTTCCATGGCTGTTGACTGAATGGACTTGTGTGGATAATCAGGAATTCCACTCTTGCATTCAGAGAGTAAAAACCAGTGACATCAACTCATCACAATATATGTCATCATTTTCCCTTGAGCTTTATGGGGTCTGAACGTGCCCCTGGGAAGCCAATGGGATTGGAATCTTATTTTATAGCACTTAAATAAAGGTCACGATTACATTTGGTTCCTACACAACCATCTTACTGTCTTTTTTTTTTTTTTAGGTTTAATCCTGAGGACTTTGTTCCTTTTTTTTTTTTTTTTTTTTTTTTTTTTTTTTTTTTTTTTTTTTTTTTTTTTTTGTGCAAGGAGATATCTGTACAGGGGTTGTTGGTAGTGACTGGTATATTCTAGTGTTCCTGTTCTGTTTGCTGTGATCTATCTTGGTGGTTCCCAACGTTTTCATAGCTGGGCTTTGCTGCCAGTGCCTTCTGCCTGTCCCCAGCCTGTCACCTCCCCTCCCTCGTCCTCAGCCACCTCGGTGGGATGCCCAGCAGTCACATCTCACCTGTAAATACTGGCAAATTGGGAAATAATATGGCATCTGATGGATTTCACTGAGGAGACCTTTCATATTTAAAGCTGGCAGTGATGCTGGATCCTGGAAAGGTTACTTGCTGTGGGCCTGGGCTCTGCACTGCTGCATCCAGGTGCTAAACCCTGCCTGTCTGTGTGTCTGCCCGTGCTCAGCATCCTCCAAAGGACCCTGGTCCTGCACCAGCTGATCCATCCCACCGGGACACTGGACCTTTTGCTGGGATCCTGCTGCCCTGTGATGAAGATTTAGGTACCCAGAGACAGGGAGTGAAAGTGGAGATGGGGACTCAGCAGGACTGAGGGCAGAGGGGGCTCTGCAGATGGAAAAGACTGGCCAGGAGGATCCCCTGCCTGAGGAAGGGAGCTGGGCTGTGCTGGGGTGCCACCAGCTCCTGCTGCACACCAGGGCCCAAGCTGGACAAACTGTCCTCCAGTTTGGGGGGAAAAAAGGACTTTGTCCAACTGGTGTCCCCAGGGCAGGGCCAGGGAGTGACCCTGGGACAAGGTCATGTCTCGGGAAGGCCCCTTACCCCTGGGAGAAATGGGAGTACTGATCATCCTTACCCCTGTGGGGCTTTGAGGTCTAAGCAATACTTGGGTTGAGCTCAAAGAGCTCCAAGAATGCAGACATGGGGTTAGTTCTTGTATTTTTAATATGTGGGAAGAATAATTTGCTAATCCAGGCAGCTGTGGTTATTTTAGTGATGCCCAAGGGGTGGGAGCTGGCAGGGCAAGGCTGCAGGAGGGCTGTTCTCAGCCTCAATTAATGCAACCAAACAAATTATAATTTACAAATTAACTCCATGTTGTGTTCCTTTAGTGGTAGCTAAAGCATCACTTCAGTTTTGGAGGGGAGTGGATGTTTTTTTTTATCATTATCCCAAAATGTGCTTTGAAATATCTGCCCTTTCAGCTGAAAGAAATCCCTCTGGAGCTGTTCCCACAGGTCCAGGAAGCAGCCAAGAGCTGAGCTCGTGTCATACCTTGGTTCTTCAGCAGATCTGCCAACAGCCTTTATCCCTCCAGAAATCACCCCTATTGCATCACAAACAGCAGCCTGAAAACTTGCACGAACTGAGATGAAAGAGGTGCCCTGGCAGCGAGAGAAACACTCAGGGAGGCAAAAATAGGCTCTACTTCTCACTCAGCTGTGGTGAAATCCTTGTTTGGGTGTGTGTTAGAGCAGCTTGGAGCAATGCTGGTTCTGCTCTGAAGAAAGGATGAGACCTAAAGAGAGTGTTTATTTGAAAATAAACATCTCTGGCAAGGCTGCACTTTTAGCTGTTGAGGAAAAGGATTCTCTTTAGCTGGATGGGTAAATATTTGTCTGTTCCTGTCTGTGATTGAGGGGATGGGGTTTGGTGTGGGCTCCAAGAAGCAGGAACAGCTGGAGTGGGCACATTCTGATGCTTTTGTGTGTGCTCTGTATTTGTCCCCTCCAAATCCTCACTTGCCTGTGCAATTCCTGGAGCACCAGGGTGATCTGAACTGTGTTGGGTGGGCTCTGAGTCCCAAGGAGGGCTCCTCTTCCCCCCAGCACAGTAGCACCATTGGCTCTGTCAGCTTTTCCAGCTTGGGAATGCTGAGGGACTTGGAAGGAAGTTTCTCTTTTGGGGGAAATACAGGAGGTGGATTTCTTTGTCTTGCTCAACTGATAGCTCTAGGCCTTCAGTTTTGGGGGGTAGTGCTAAGCAAAAATCCTGGTTTAGTCTCTCCTGTCTGGCAAGGAGGAATGGTCAGTCCGTGTCTTTAACCCTTTGGGCAGGAATGTGTTGCAATGAAGGTCACACCTGCAAATAATCGAGGTTTTCAGCATCAGGGCTGGTGGTGAGAAGGCAGGAAAAAAAAAAAAAAACAACACATTTCCAGGGGCAGGAGAGCTGTGCTGGGGGATCCCACTGGGAGCACCACGGTGTCCAGTGTCCAGCAGGGAGACTGGAAAGCAGCAAGTGGAGGTTTTGTGTGTAAATGTAACTTAGTTTGGGTGCCAAACTTGCCTGCTTTACCAGGGCACATTTCCAGTGGAGTTTGCTGAGCACAGCAGTGGAAAGGATTCCTTTGTGGCCCAGAGCCTCCCACAGAAGACCATACTCTGCTCGAGTCCCTCCCAAGATGAATTAACTTGGATTATCCCATGGCCCTGTTGCTCTGAATGCAGCCTTCCATAGGATGAGGGAAGGAAAGCAGCTGGACAGTTGCTGCCTTGCTCCTCCCCTTCCTGAAGAAAAGCCATGTCCTCTCAGAGCTGCTGCTCACGGATGCCCAGGCCCTCAGTCAGTAACCACAAGCCATCAATCAAAGCTTTCCAAAAAAAAAAGTGTAAATTCAAGAAAAAAAAACCAAACAGATTGCAACTTCTGAGGGTGTCATTCAGATCCTCTGTGCCGTGTTTTTGCTGCTGTTTCCCATTTCTAGGCCTGTTCTGATTTAAGTCTCTTGTTCCACTCGGTGTTCGATCCCTGACCCTGTGTGTGCTCTGCTATGACTCAAGCATGATGTAAAAATGCACTCAGAACTGTAACAGCACGTGGCTGTTACACTGTAAATATGTACCATGAAGAGAGAGGCTATTTTTTGCATGCTTTTGTACTGTAGAACTGAGGAGAAAATGACAATAAAGTCCACAGAGGTGACACTGGGTGTAAGTGCAGTTCCTAGGGCGGGGCTGGGTGAGGCTCACGTGTTCTCTCTGCTGCTTAAACCTCCCCCAGAGAGGGGCTTGGAGGGCTTCATTTCATCCCCCTTTCCCTCCTGGACTTTTCCTGGATGAAGAGGCTCAAGTGACACGTCCCCAGCTGTTCCAGCCTCTTGCTGCAATGGGGCTGGGGAAGTTTCCTTGCCCTAATTCCATTTACACCACCACCACAGGAAGGAAAACAGCTCCCCAGGAGCGACCAGCAGAGGCTCAGGTGGGAATTGGGGACATCAAGGGCACCTTCCTGAACGAGCATTTCTCTGGGTGAATGCTGTTTCCCACTCCAGGTGCATCCCAGGCATGTAATTGTGGTTCCCCAGGGGTGCAGTGTCCTGCTGGGGTCACATCACTGCCACCACTGCCCAGCCAGCCCCGAGGCACGGTCAGTGATGTGCCCCAAAGGGCCACTTAATGCCCCTGAGGTTTATGGTCATTTAGGATCTTGCTGGGGACTCGATTTGGGATTGGATCCAGCCAGGTAAATGACTTGGAAGCCTCTCCCCCCTCTTTTTCTTGCAAATCAAAATGGATTTCTTGAGCAGTAAATTATAATTTTGTGCTTATTATAATATTCATTAAGAGCTGCCTTCTGCTGTAG